ACTCTGCACCAGAAATGTCATCATAATCTGCGCGTCGATAGCGACCAATATGTGACGCTGTAAGTGCCTGGGTCTGATACTGGCGCAGAAGCTCGAAAAAAAATCTGAACACAGACAGACATGCCACAAGCAGAGCTACATCAAATGCAAACGTACACCATGTTATCATGTGACAGAAAGATATCCGCATTGGAGGACGCCCACAAAAACTTTTAATTAGCATGCCCTACTTACTCAACCTTTGGAAGAAGCTAACCTTTCATTGAACGGTAGCCTCAGTGTTCTTAATTTTATTATCACCATTTGAAAAAATCAAGCACTAGTGTGGTGCGCAAGCTACTGCAAATGACTCGCTCCCATTGATTTCTGCGGTGCGCCCGTAGGAGCGTCGGTGAAAAACGGCGCCGTGTGCCGCACGTATGGAAAGCAGGCGAGGAGAATCGAGGAGGAAACGCGCGCGTGGAAGAGAATGTGATTATTTTCCCAAGATCAAGAGGATATATATCTTCATGCCATTTGGCTACTGATGACTAAAACGCACCGAAGTTATGAAATATATATAAATATATATATATATATATATATATAAATATATATATATATATATATATATATATATATATATATAAATATGTAAGTAGATGTGCTTTCACATAACAACTGTTTATTGTGCCGACGTTTCGACAGGAACCCTGTCTTTTTCAAGGCATAATACTATTTACACATGTTCCGTGCCTTTTTATATCCTGTCGAGACAGGAGGGGAGGGGTCAATTGAGAGAGAGAGAGAAAAAAAAAGAAGAAACAGCGAAACGGGAGGACAAACATTAAATAAAATATAGAATATCTAGGAGAAGAAGCAAGACCGACACGGCGTAATTAGAACGGGGCAGCATTTCAACAGAGTAGGGCAGAGGTAGATGAGGAATGTCATCATTGTCAACAATACCTCCCCCGCACCCACACTTCGCCAAGTGGGCAGGGAGCCGCCGTTTTTGTATTTCACCTTTCCGTGTAGTCCACTGGCGGCTCGTTCCTCTTTGAAGTGTATGACAAGTTAATGGGGAGGGCTTAAGCGCTTTAAGTGCATGCTGGTGGCGTCCGGAGGAGCGAAAAAGCCGGTGAATGAGGCACCCCCATCGATATTCATTATATGCATTGGCTCCTTGTCAGTGAAGGAACAGAATTTGCGTTAAAAATTAAAGAAGGAAAAAAAACCAGGGGGGGGGGGAGGGGAGAGACTGTACGACATCCGAGACAGTCAACACACAGTTGCGGCTCACTGGGAAGACATGCGCGCATGCACAAAAGAGTTTACGAAACCACCTAGCTGTCAGCTCCTTGTCAGTGAAGGAACAGAATGTGCGTTGCAACTTGAAGAAGAGAAAGAAAAAGAAAAAAAAGAAAAAAAAAGAAAAAAAGGGGGGGGGGGAACCGTACGACATCCGGGACCACTTATCTGTGCGTTCGGGCTGTGCTTGATGAGGCAAATCATTTCTATGTTGTCAGATGCATAGGCCAAAAGCTTTGTTAGCGGGTAATATTATTGTCGTAATAAAACCGGACTGATTAGAGAGAAGCGTTTGCGTCTTTTAGCGGTCGTAACGCAGACAGAGTGCCTGGGTGTTCATTTATTCCGTATTTTATCGTGTTAAATTTGTAGATAAAATAAGATTCCCGTTGTTCCCGTTCTCTGATTGTTCGAAAGTTGTTTTCTAGTAGTGTAACCCTAATGTCATCAAAGCTGTGGTCTTTTAATGTGCAGTGTTTTGAAAGTGGAAGGCCTGGCAGAGATCGTGCATGTGCCCGATGGTTGTTGAATCTAATTCTAAACGGAGTGTCTGTCTGGCCCACGTATTGATTGTTACCTACCCCACATTCCAGGAGGTATATGACGTTGTCTGAGTCACAGTCTAGTGCACCTCGTATCCTGTGCTTAAAATCCGAGTGGGTGCTTTTCGCCACTGTCGTTGTCTGCATGTGTTTGCATACCCTGCATCTGCTTTTTCCGCAAGGGTGACACCCAATTGGAGGTTTCACACCTATCTTTGAATTTATTAAATGATCCTTTATATTTTTCGGCCTTCTGTATACAACACATCAGGGTTACACATCAGGGTTACACATCACATCAGGGTTACACATCAGGGTTACACATCAGGGTTTCATGACATCAGGGTTACACTACTAGAAAACAACTTTCGAACACTCAGAGAACGGGAACAACGGGAATCTTATTTTATCTACAAATTTAACACGATAAAATACGGAATAAATGAACACCCAGGCACTCTGTCTGCGTTACGACCGCTAAAAGACGCAAACGCTTCTCTCTAATCAGTCCGGTTTCATTACGACAATAATATTACCCGCTAACAAAGCTTTTGGCCTATGCATCTGACAACATAGAAATGATTTGCTTCATCAAGCACAGCCGGAACGCACAGATAAGTGGTCCCGGATGTCGTACTGTCCCCCCCCCCCTTCTTTTTCTTTCTTTTTTTCTTTTTTTCTTTTTCTTTCTCTTCTTTAAGTTGCAACGCACATTCTGTTCCTTCACTGACAAGGAGCTGACAGCTAGGTGGTTTCGTTAACTTTTTCGTGCATGCACGCATGTCTTCCCAGTGAGCCGCAACTGTGTGGTGACTGTCTCGGATGTCGTACAGTCTCCCCCCCCCCTGGTTTTTTTTTGCTCCTTTCATTTTTAACGCACATTCTGTTCCTTCACTGACAAGGAGCCAATGCATATAATGAATATCGATGGGGGTGCCTCATTCACCGGCTTTTTCGCTCCTCCCGACGCCCAACAGCATGCACTTAAAGCGCTTAAGCCCTCCCCATTAACTTGTCATACACTTCAAAGAGGAACGAGCTGCCAGCGGACTACACGGAAAGGTGAAATACAAAAACGGGGGCTCCCTGCCCACTTGGGGAAGTGTGGGTGCGGGGGAGGTATTGTTGACAATGATGACATTCCTCATCTACCTCTGCCCTACTCTGTTGAAATGCTGCCCCGTTCTAATTACGCAGTGTCGGTCTTGCTTCTTCTCCTAGATTTTCTATATTCTATTTATTGTTTGACCTCCCGTTTCGCTGTTTCTTCTTTTTTTTTCTCTCTCTCTCTCTAAATTGACCCCTCAACTCCTGTCTCGACAGGATATAAAAAGGAACGGAACATGTGTAAATAGTAATATGCCTTGAAAAAGACAGGTTTCCTGTCGAAACGTCGGCACAATAAACAGTTGTTATGTGAAAGCGCATCTACTTTCATATTTATAACCTTGCGGCAACCGAAGTTATTCTTCTGCATATAAGCCTTTTATATATATATATATATATATATATATATATATATATATATATATATATATATACATATGTGGTTTGCTGTTAGCATTCCTGACAACGTACGCTAGATGAAGTAGTGGTTAGCGCCGCGCACTGTAGACAAAGAGATGCTGGCTCGACGCCTCGCACGTGCTGCTTTTCTTCTCGTTTCTATGCATTCTGGAAAATATATTTGACAACATCGTAGTCGCGACAGAAATACGCCAGCGGAGCCATGGTGGACCCTGGTATAAAACACTTTAGTGTTAAAATAATTGCGTAACTTTGTATGTAGTAGCATTTGTTCATTGTGATGAACATCTGTACTCAGTTCAACAACTGAGACAGCAGTATTTGTAAACAAATGAATAAGAAACTGGACTTACCTTTTTGTCATAGTATTTGGTATAGAATGAAAGTGATACGTGTACTTAAAGAATTATTTGCTTGTTTACTTTCCTCTACGGTGATAAAAGGGAGCTTACGCAATGTCTACTGGTGTTTGGAAGGTATATCACAAGTTTGACGCTTGGTGTTACATTTGTTTTTCGACGACTAGTGCCCAAGATCGTTTAATACCTCAGTGTTCATAGATACTTGTAGTAGCTGTACGGTGGGACAAGAATCTTAGAAATCTGTGCGACAGCCATAAAGACATGCAGCACTGAATGAACACGGGACATCCACACATGAAGTTAGGTCACGAGGTTTTTTATTTGTATTGATGTGTGATAAGAGAGAAACCGGCGCTGCAGGTAAGGCGACCACTTGACCACGAGTTAATGCGTCGACAAAAGTGCATTGCCTTTGGCAAAGCGCCATACGGGGTGAACTCATAGAAACGACTCTTTGAAGAAAGTAATAGAGGATTTCACGGTCATCATGTATTACCTCAATTTAGCAAGAGCATTCTGACAGGTGAATGATAGGTACAAAAATTGCTTTTATAAACAGTTCTGTAAATGTGACCGTCACACAGTCGATACCAAGCCCGTAATTACTTGTCGTGGACCGAGAGTCCGGAAGTTCGACTCCAATTGAAGGACCTTCTTTCTTTGTCTCTGATAATGTGTATTTTTTCGACGTCATTTTCGTGACAAGAGTCCGTCACTGATATGATGGACCCCCACGTAAAACACATTCATGTTAAATAAATGTCAGTCTTTTACAGTATTGGCAAAAAAAATCCTTACGCGTGCGCGTCAATATATGCATCATGAATTGAAGACATGCGGTGATTGCTACCAGACTTCACACTCTTATGAAACGGTACAAGGAAGAGACGATTACAAATGGTAAAAACACACTAAGACAGGCGCCTATCTTCGTGTGATCTTCATCACCTGTGTTTATCGTCCTTTTGTTGCACCGTTTCCTAGGCATAAATCCTTACTATCTCACTGAACTAGCACTGATACACACTTGACTGTTTGGCAGGGCAGTAATGTCCAGCCCGTTTACAACCCTGAGGTGGGATTTTCATAACGACTGCCACAACTGATGAACAAAATACGACGCACTCCTCAATTGAAGAAGAGAACATTGGAGTGACAACTGTTTCAGAGACATTGCAGTGACAACAAAACAAAGCGAGCTCTTGTATTTATACCTCTTTCCTGAACAATTACAACTGCAATATGGGCTCAGACTATAAGGATAGCAGTCTGTACGTACGTGTGTGAGCTCTTCATACATGTTTCGGATGTTCAGGACGAAAGCCCACCAGTATCCAGTGACGTCTGCATAGAAATGGTCGTATACGAGAGTAGTGGTAGGTCCCGTAGCGATCATTGGCAGCAGGGAGAAACAGCACGCCACGAATACCAAGGGCAGCACCAGCCTGTCACGGCAAGATATGAAGTGGAAGTACAATATGAATACATAATACTGTTGGAGTCAATTCGATACGTCAATGCGATACTTTTCTCTTCCGTGGTGACTGGAAAAGTCAACTGTATTCGGTCGTTAGCGGATTTCGGTTTCTTAGAATAATTTAAAAACGATATTCATAATGCAATGTTTCTCATTACTTAATATATTTTATTTATTTATTTATTTATTTATTTATTTATTTGTTTGTTTGTTTGTTTATTTATTTATTTATTTATTTACAAGTACTGCTGTCCCATGCCTGGGACATTGCTGAAGCGGGTACAGAAAAATCAATGAAAGCACAGAAACAAACAATAGTGCGCACAAATTTATGTGACTAACACATAAAATTTTTCCCGAACTCTACAGTGTTCAGTCTACGCAATGCACCATCAAGCTTGTTCCAAACTTCCACCACACGCGGAAAAAAAGAGAATTTGAAACAATCCAAACGAGACCTGAAGGGCGCAAGGTTCAAAGCGTCTGTACTACGGGTTGTGCGTGCTGGTACATCAGCGAAAGATAAGGGCGCGTGAATGCGGGTCATTTTGTGTACAATCTTGTGCAATAAGATAATACTCTCACGTGTACGGCGGTGTTCCAGTGAATGAAGTGACGACAAATGAGCATGTGAAGACGGGGAGAAGTCCCGATCATAACGGTTAAAAACGAACCGCATAGCCTTATTCTGCACAGATTCTAACCTGTTTTTATCTTGCTCAAGATGAGGCGGCCAAACCACAGAGGCGTACTCGAGCATCGCTCTCACTAGTGTCTTGTAGGCAGTTAACTTACAATCTTTTGTCGAGTTTTTCAATCTTCGCTTAAAGTAACCAAGTTTCCTTAGAGCTTGACAAGTTATCTGATCAACATGTTTGCCCCATTTAAGGTCATGTGTAAAGGTGATGCCTAGGTATTTGAATTCACTCACATGTGCTAGGGTGGACTCATTGTAGTTATAACTGAAACTGAGAGGCTGTTTTTTATTTGAGAAAGCCATAGCTACAGTTTTCTTGTAATTTATGGGCATTTGCCACGTTGAGCTCCAATCGCAGAATAACGACAATACGTTGTTGAGGACTGACTGGTCTTGAAAGGTAGTAATGCAGTTATACAGTACACAATCATCGGCATACAGACGTATATTTACAGGGGTTCCAGAGATGACATTAAGAACATAATTATTAAAAATAATAAACAAGAGAGGCCCTAGCACAGAGCCTTGCGGCCCACCGGATGTGATTTCAACAGGGGATAACTGCACCTGGTTGAAAGTAACGAACTGAGATCGAGAACGCAAGTTATCCGTAATCCAACCGAGTAATTTAGAATCTTTAAGAAAGAAACTAAGTTTTAGAAGAAGTTTTTTATGGTATATGTTGTCGAAAGCTTTCGAGTAGTCTATGAAAATTGCGTCTGCCTGACCCCTTTTGTTAAGTGATTGGAAGGTATCAAAACACAGTTCTAATTAGTCGTTTTCTTATGTTTCAGGTATTCTGGTAAATGAGTCATTGTTGGTGACACCAAATTGTGATGACATCGCTCGAAGGTCTTGAGCCATGTCATCACATTACAATTACTTTACAATTTCAAATTACTTTACAATTCACGCTTTACAATTACTAAAGGTTGCTTGTCCCTCTCATGAAAGTTTATAACAAGCAAACATTATTTTTCTGTGGCTGCTTTTGTTGAAAGAGAGAATGGTAAACAGAACAGTTCCGTCGCGTGCTTTTTAACTTTTGTTTGAAACGACACATGAAGTAGGCACAAACCTGTACCAACGTCGAACAATAATGACAATGACTGCAAGGACTCCTCTTCCCTTCTTGAGGCCATGGAGCGTGTAGGACAGCAGGTACCCGCTGTAAAAAAATGTCTAGTACAACGACACTGACGCAAAGAACTCGTTAAAACACCATAACAGAGTCACAGCCAATGAAATTTTATGGTCGTTGACAGACGAGCCAGTAAAATGTATCTGGGAAATCTTTTCACATCAAAATTCTCAAAACTTCTTCGCCTGAACAGCTCTTTTTTACCGGTCAGCTGGTTTCTTTTCCAAGGATATGTCCAGCTTTAGAATTAGCTCAAATATTCTGTGATGAACATGAATATTTCTATGACTACGGGTCAACATTTTATGGGACGAACATTGTATTAAACAGCTTTTTTAAGAAAAACGCCAAGCTGCGCGCAATGCGGAACGCCGTCACAGGGGAAGCAGTGGTACCGGCCTTTCAGAGTCCTTTTTTAGGTACTCTCTGGAAAACTGCTACAAGTGCACTTGGAGGGTGCGCACAAGAGCAAAGGTCATCGTAGCTTTTTTGTAGTGGGTAGGCATTCACTACGCAATCTTTTGTCATTCTTCGGCGTCTTAGCCGCTACACACTTGCGTAAAATTCTGTGCAAATTTTTAATGGTGTGGCTGACGGTGATAAATTATGCCTGCCTGAAGCTCTAGTGTTGTGTTGGAGCATTCAACGACGTACTCCTTACGTAATTCGCATTCTTTGACGCCTGATTGTTCCTTGGATGTTCTAAAATGATTTAAAACGCGATTTTTTTCCCGACATTACGCCTGCCTAGCGTTATCATGCAACATAGTTCAAGTCCTGGCGTGGTTCCGAAGTAGAACACTGGGCTGGTAGCAAAGGACCCTGGTTAAATTTCCATCGCGTCCTTGGTGATCTTATTCAAAGTTTTTTTCCATTGCGCACGATAGTGGTTACAGACACCGGCAGCGGTGACAGACAACTATGGCGCACGCACCTGTGTTGGTGATTTCATAACAACTTTTCCTGTAAAACGCGAGGCCTGCGTGGAAAGCGTGACACATTCACAGCGAGACCTGGCCGAGCACCATTTCTCGAACACATTGCAAACTGTCGTAGGGCTAAAGATTGAAACACGTTTACAAGGTACACGCTGTTTTATTGATTATTTCGGTGGCTGATTAGGACGAACAATCATGGCTAGGCCCTAAGGGGTTGGAGTAATTCAAGAACCCGCTCGCAATGCAATGCTTTATGTGTGACGCCTGCTGAGACATTTCAAATTTTGTGGCGCTTCGTTGTTCGTTTGCTCTTGTACTACGTTACATTGCGCACGTAAGTGGGTGCCGGTAACACTTTTGAGCGTGCCCAGAAAACGCTGATTACTGATAGTCGAGGCTCCGGAGGAAACGCATTTCTTTCTTTATTTGTTTTTTTCTGTGCCAGTAGAGAAAATGGAGCGAAGGCAAAAGGCTGAAAGCCTGACTAAGGGCGTTTGCTCCATATTTGCCCCTTATGCTCTATATTTAAATATTACAGCTAAGCACGTGGCCTCAAACTTACAATGCATTCTCAAATCAGCTAAAAACACTCTATTTTTTTGGAAAACGAGACTACAGACTCGAAAGTAACTAGGTTCTTGGTCAAATATAAGTCACTTGCTGATGAACCATTGCGCACTCGGTCGTTAGTAGAAACGCCAGGGAAGGCCACCACTTGTCGACGTGAGCGTGCGTGATCGCTCTGAAAAGGCATCCATTCAAAGAAAAGAAAGAATAGAATAGAATAGATTTATTTCTAGTAATACAAGGGTTCTGATGAATACCACTGGCTACAAGTAGTTGGCAAACAGCCGGGCTTGGCCGATGGTTAATTAAAAGGCATACGTGGCAGCTGTATAAAAACGAACAGCAACATTGTTAGAAAATAAAAATAAGTTAAATATTTACACAAACGCACAAAACAAGATATAGGTATTATAACAAATTAGAACTAAATTATTGTAGAATAATACAGAAATATATGCAATAGTTACAAGCAACAATACAAAAGTGAACACTGAAAATAATATTTGCGAGAAAGAAGAAATACGTTCAATCATGATATATTTACAAAATGCATTCCAAGCTGCTTCACTGAAAAAGCTTATGACTTTTTTTTATTTACTCAATATATGTGGCAGCTTATATTTTAGTGATTGCAGTCTATATTTTCTACGACACTTAAGAACATACCATATGTTACTATTTGTGGTATTGGCGAAACAGACTCAAGGCGTCAAAGATGCAGTAGACGTAAGTAAAATTTGAAGACCAATTTAGAGTAACCAAATATTGAAGCAGGAAAAAATTTCACAATTCAATTTTAATATTCTTATGATTAATAAAACTGACCGGTTGGTCTCTAAAAACCTTCATTGTGAAATGCCTAATCATCTTCTTTAGCAATGAAAATATTTTCATTATATTTGTCTTCCCAGTAGTCACCCACACGGAGCTACATTAACCTAAATGGGAAGAAAATAGCCCATAATAAATGTTACTCTTGCTTTCAGTAGGAGAGCTACATATAAAAGAAATACCTGTGATAGCTGACAGCCTTTTGCAGATATTTTCTACTAGTTTATCTCAAGCAAGGGTGTGAGGAAAATAACGCCTAGTAATTTATCTTCAACAACTTGCAGTTTTTATCAGCAAACATTAACGTTTGTTTACAAGTCAAAGATTTCTTTTAGTGGGCAAGAACCTTAATTTAGTTTTTGTAGAATTTATAATATGCAGTTTGCCATCAAGCATTTAGACAGCTTGACTAGAGGATCGTTGCAATGTTTCATTATTATTTGAAAATCTGGATCAGAAACAAGCAGAGAACCGTCAACGGGATGTATAATATATTGAACAGAGGTATGAACGACAATATCGTACAACATCGAAAGCGAAAAAAAAAGTGTTTTCAGGTAAAATGTGCATATAATTGCCCTGTCTGCTCTGAATAATACAAACATCCGGTCGTTCCAACCATGTTTAGGCTTTTAATGTGTACACACCAAATGGTGTCTACGTAATTATATGTATTAAAAAACTAACCTATACTCGGCGGCTACTCTTCTTGATACTGAAAGGATTGCTACGAAGCTAAATCACGTGCATCGTACCCCCAGTGAAGGTAGTTCCAAAGTAGCGCCCATGAAATATAAATTTTCCTTTTTTATTTTCTACGTAGAGCTATTTGAGACAGGACGCAGCTCAGAGCTGTAAGATATTTGTTATTTGTTTTAATTTATCTGTTGTGACTTCGTGGTTTTGAATGCGTGAAGAAGTCCCACCTTTTTACGTGCAACTAAAACGCTAAGCGGTGACTGCGTCTACAAAAACGCTGATGGCGGGCTCCCGTCACTTTTCACTGTGCTACGAGACGCGCGCCAAAACGTATTAGTTCGCATAGTGCTACATGTGCAGACGATCCGCCTACAGAGCTTTCCCTTCAGTGCTAAGAAAAGTTGTCGCCGAGTATAGCAACCAGTCATTAGCAGTTCTCTCCCTTGGAAGCTCCCAGGCAGATCACAGTTCATCCGAAGAAGGCTGCCATGTATGCTTCCAGGCCACTTCAAACTCCGCTGAATGTTGACCATCCCACCTGTGAAAAAAACTTACAGATTCAGGGAACTTAGACCTTCCCACTTATGCGCAGGTGCTCCAGGTCTTGAGGAGGCTTGATTTGCCAGTGCGTGCCACCGATTCATCTCAGCACCTAAAGAAAGTATGCAATCTGTGAAGAGGCTAAAAACGATATATTTTAAGAAAACATCAATAAAACACTCACTTTTATTACTCACTTTTAACACAGAGCTACCACTTCGTTAAAGCCATCAAATCTGCAACATTCCCTCTGAAACAAGCTGAAGCCCCATGTATGCTTTGCATACCGTAATATATATATATATTAGTTAAGTATAGCGTTACCATATATATATATATATATATATATATATATATATATATATATATATATGTATATATGTATATATATATATATGTATATATATATATATATATATACATATATATGTATATTAGTTAAGTATAGCGTTACCAAAGGAGGAATCCTCTCCAGAACTGATTTTTCAAAAAAAAGCATAAATTCCTGAAGTGGTGCCTGGCCTCCTGAAAAATGATTTCTTAAAAATATATTTCCTACCAGCAAACATTGTGAAAATACAGGCTTGTTCTGTTATTCTCATAAGATCTTGTTTATATCAAATCACAAAAACTTTTCTTGTACTTGCATCCCGCCACAATATATTTACGTATATAAAAGTAGCAGTATATTTTGAAACATTACATCTGCTTGGCTGAAAAAGTTACAAACGTTACACTACTAGGCGAACAGCAACAAATTTAGTTTCGCAAGTTCAACTCACCAATTTCCGAGCGATTAGTAGCCGTCAAAATCATCAAGGATTAAGCGTTCTCTGGAGCCAACAGGCAAACAACGTCTTTTAACTGGAAGCTGCGGACAACGTAGACATTAAAGGTTAGCCAGGCGAACACGTGGTAAACTGTAGGGCCAGACCATGGTCAGCGGTAGTCAAGGCAATAATGCGGTGCAAAACGAAAGGCAGGCGAACTCATAAACCTGTAGTTAGCAGGTGCTGGTCTACCTGTGCTTGCCTTGGATGAAGTTAATAACAAAAATTATTAGCTTCACGCAAGGCAATCCACCGGTGAAGTCGTCGTTCTTTCCAGGAGCTCAGGAAAAGCTTGACGCTCATCGGCTCTCTCCGGAAGGTAAAATTCAGTCACAGTCAAAGTTTTCACTGAAGAACAGTCTAGGCGCACTGCCAAAGTGACGTCATCTACAACAAAATGTATCATCTCGCAACTTCAGTTCGACACATCACAGTACTCGGGCTATAGTTATCACAAGATAGAGACTAGATCAATCGATAGACATAAACGCCAAGCCGCACCACCGCAACTTCGCAGGGCAAAACAGTCACCAATGCTCTTTCAATTATCTGTCACACAAGCACAGAGTTTTCTCAAATCATGGAAACGTCAACACAGCACCACTGTTCACAAGGCACATCTGTTCCACTGTCAAACATTGGACTGCTCAGAAGAGCAGATGCGTGCACGGCAAACCCGTGGCGAAGCAAGAAGCCAATACAGAGCGTAGTTTTTGTGCGTTACGGTACTGGGGTCACTCAAGTAACTTGCCAAAGCGCTGTCAACCCGATATGCCGCACAGCACCCAGCTGAGAGACTGTAAAGTGAAGCGGACGAACTCTTACCGGTACAAAAGCACACAAGGCAGGCTTCTCGAGTACCAGTTGCCATAGATACGCAGACGCTGATCCTCGCTTCATAAACACACCAACGCACATGCTCCGGTACGCTTCATCATACACCTATATAGTTCCGCATCGCTTACACGCACCCAAAAAACAGTGATAGTCAGTAATCACAACACATCTAGTCGAACGCTGAAGTACTCAAGCGAGAGGTGTCAGTTAATATTCGCGTCAACAGGTAGGCTGTTTACGATGCCATGTTGTTTTCGGGTACTGTGTAGCCCAGAAGAGGGCTTCAAAAGAGCCCTCTAACACTATTACCACTTCATAGTTTTACGTGTTTTTCTAGCTGGTTGCGTACACTGATGGCTTAAAAGGTAAATTCCCCAGAATGGCAGCGTTAGGGCCACGCAGTACAAAGGTATTCAGCGTAGGGATATTAAAATACAATAAAATGGATGCGTACCCAGCACTCGATTTTCGTGGGCTCACCTTACCGTTTTTTCCTTGCCCTGAAAGCCCTACCATATAAAAAGCTCGAATGACATATTGCCTGTGACGTCCGGCGTATTATAGATGCTGGTGCGATGGTAACAAACAGTGTAGGACTTGAAGAAGTGAAAACAAGTGCGAAGCAAGCCAGCTCACGCACGCTTCGATATTGTTTTGTAGCTATAGTGATCTTTATTTTTGCAATGACATATATATATTAACGCTCTTACATTTTTTCATTTATCAATTGACGGTATCCAGAGCGTCGCTGGCGAGTTTCCTCGTGCACGTGGCGTTCCGCGCATTATTTGACCAGCTTTGCACTTTTCAAGCAGGAAAAGTCTGAGAGCTTTATTCTCTGTTCCTTTGAGTGAAAAATGGCTAATCAAAAAGTAATTCCAATAGTAATTCATATTTTAATGAAATGCCGCGATCACGTTTACCGTTACATTTATCCGATCATATGGCGGCATCTTTCGCCCTCATTTCAGCTCGCAGTAGTTCTGGCGAGCGCCACTAAGAGTTATGCAGTCGGCATTGATGTTTTCAAGAGTTAGGAGGCCTCTTTAAAAAGGTCTTGTGTGCTTTTTAAGGGCACGACAAAAGTTGCTCTATGTGCGAGGGGGAAGATATCACGAGCACGACAGTGTTGCCCACTGAAACGGGTGTTTTGGCAATGTCATAAGATGGCCCCATAACTAGAGTAGTGCTCTCCAACCAACCTCAAGTAGCGCTTATATGGGAGCATGCAATGGGAGTTTCGCCTTTGCTACGCAAATATTTGTAGGTGAAGTGGTGACTGCCTCGCATAAAATTTATGTTATTCCTTAGCACCATGCCTTTATGATATTCTTATGTTTCGTTAAATGGATCCTAATTGAAGAAGGGACAAATTCATTCAAGTTTTGTTTATGCTAGAGAATTATGATGGTTCGCACCTTTCAGGTGTTATTAAAAAGTACTGGAGACATTGCATCTTGACTGCCTGCCATACTAACGCGTCTCACTTCGGCTCCTGAACAGTGAAGGAAGGCGGGAAAGCTCGATTTTTTTAGCACCATACGTAATCATGCGCACTCCTAATACGCTTCAATTCGCAAAGTACGCGCCCGTTCTAGATCATCCGAAATGAATCGACTGCTCTATTTTCAGAGACCGTGCCCGTTGGGTCGTGCTGCAACCACAACATAGACTTCATGAACGGCTAACTGAAGAGTAATGCTCACTTTTATTTCAAAAAGCGTTTAGGTGACGTGCTCATCCTAACCTCTTTGGTGGAAATTCCCACTAATGTGGAAAACATCACAAAATGAACTTCTCAATAGATGATGACGCAACATGATATCACAAAAATGTTTACTACATACCGCGACGCTTTCAAATTCGCCGATAAAACACGTACCTTATTGGTTTGACCCAATCATGCCCCGCCGCGGTGGTATAGTGGCTAAGGTATTCGGCTGCTGACCCGCAGTTTGCGGAATCGAATCCCGGCTGCGGCGGCTGCATTTCCGATAGAGGCAGAAATTTTGTAGGCCCGTGTGCTCAGATTTGGGTGCACGTTAAGAACCGCAGGTGTTCAAAATTTCCGGAGCCCTCCACAACGGCGTCTCTCATAATCATATGGTAGTTTTGGTACGTTAAACCCCACATATCAATCATCAATTCATACAACGACAAGTCTTTGATATATTTCACACTGATAACACACAATATATTTTTTCTTAATTACTGCGACTCCAAGCTTAATGGGCGACTGTGGTTGTCAGCGCTCTCGATTGCGTGAAAGCAAAAGAACATACGAAACTCAAAGCGCTAAAACAATTCAGAACGTACCAGCGCGCTCAAAATCAGCCACCGCACACAGATGTCTCGCCACCGGTGCCTGTTCTAAGCAGCCATGTTGTTCGTAAACATGATCCGAATCACGTTTGCGAACAACATGGCTGCCTACGAGAGCTTTTCGTAGGCATCCACATTTTGCACAAAATTTCGCTTCGTGAATCAAGTTACGAGGGTCTTTTGATGACGTCAGCAAACATAGCAACTGCATCACCATCGCTGATATTACTCCTAGGAATTGGCAGTGCGCTTTATTGCAGCGGCTGATGTGATAGTGATAATAATGGCGTTTTACCACGTTTTTTTTTCGTCTCATGAATTAACATAGGCGACAAAATTCTCTCGCGGGAACACTTGCTCGAAAGGAAGTTTTGTGAATATATAGTCTTATTTGACAATTTTCCGCAAGTTCATAGGTGAGCTTTAAAGGTTCAAAACGATTCTGCATCACATCTTTTACAGCAAGTGTCTCTATCCTGTACGTCAGTCCTGCACAATTTAGAAAACTAAAGGCTGCCTGCAGCACCTGGGTCATCGCCTACAGTCATTGCGTACGGTTCCACCTTGGACCGAGCCACCGAATTTATCTAAAACCTTAGGGCTCCCCTTGCCATTTGCTTCAAAGCTAATAAAGAGACACTTAAGGGAAACAATAAGTTGTTTTAGATTGATAAACTTTACACTGAGAACTGTATTGCCATAAGTTTAATTTTCGTAAGTTCATTGTAGCGGAGAAAGTCAAAGTTGAAGTTTCAAAGATAAATTTTGCACTGTAATTTTCGTGCCTAACATAAGAAATTCCAAAGTGTATTTTTCCTATTCAGATCAGCTTGATAAATTTTTTCAAACTTTGTAAGCTGGGTCTATGACAACCGAAAAAGATAATGTACTCCAATTTTACCGATTATAAGCTACTTACGACCAAATACACGCCTTCAAAGTTCTACGTGGCGTAACCACTCACAGTTTCTTTTCGCGCGTTTTCTCGCTTACCCACTAACAATCCCGGCTGCGGCGGCTGCATTTCCGATGGAGGCGGAAATGTTGTAGGCCCGTGTGCTCAGATTTGGGTGCACGTTAAAGAACCCCAGGTGGTCTAAATTTCCGGAGCCCTCCACTACGCCGTCTCTCATAATCATGAAGTGTTTTGGGACGTTAAACCCTACATATCAATCAATAAATCAATGCAAGTGTCGTGTCGCGTTAAATAGAATGTTTTCGGAATTGTGAAATTGTACTTTACGAATGCGGGAAAAAGAGTTGTGCTCATTGAAGTCTCTTTAAAGAAAGATCTTGTCACGGTGACTAACCAAGTGTTTCTTCAAACTGAAAAGTTCAAAGTTCGAACATGTTCAGTTCAAACGAAGTTTGCAGTTCAAACATTTTCGAAGCAGTACTGCTTCAGTCATGTCATCGCACATAAAAACTAGTGCACAAAAAAAAAACATGGGACATGACCTTTTTCTACAAATAAAGACCGTTAACTCACAAGGTAAACTTATTTATGATATTATTTGTCATTTTTTCGTCCGCCGCTACACGCAAATACTCTGCCAAGCTTCTTACTTTCTTCATATGTGTGTATTTTCGCGAGCTAAATCTGCGCCGCTGCGGTGGTCGAGTGGTTAATGTACTCGGCTACTGACCCGCAGATGGCGTAATGGAATCCCGGCAGCGGTGGCTGCATTTTCGACGGACATCAAAGTGTTGTAGGCCCGTGTGCTCAGATTTAAGGGTGCGTCGAAGAACCCCACGCGGTCGAAGTTTTTGGAGTCCTCTACTACGGCGTTTCTAATATTAAATAAGTGGTTTTTGGAAGTTTAACCCCACATATCAATCATTCACGGGCACAAGTAATTAATTTTTTGGTTGTCCAAGTCAATATTTCCAGTTTTTGCAGCCGTTAGAGCCAAGAACACCACAGGCCCATCACTTACCTCATGAAAAAGAAGTTGTCCACAGACAGGAACGAAGCTAGCGTTAGGGTCGATTCGTAGCTATCGATGTACTGCAGAGCATAGGTAGAGTTGGCTGAACAGGAAGAAATTGATGTTGCGATTAGCATGACAAGACACATAATATTCAGGGTGATCAAAATTCAGCTGTATGACATTGGGTCTGTGGTTATCTTAAAATTTAGTAAAGACAGGTACGTGAAGTTTACATTTCAATCACATCAATTCAAAGGGCTGTAAATTTTTAATATCCCCCATTGCCCGATGAAATGCCACACACAACTTTCCAGGCACATTATTGAGAAAATTTGTGCCTGCCCTCAATGTCTGGCATTCGCATAACATGAACCGCAATTTATCTTGATGTCGCACAATTCCAAGTACAAACTTTTTACAAGTAATGTTCCGCTTGGAACTGTGTAGAAACACGACTGCCTTCAACGTTTCATTGCGAATAATCCCATGTAAGGCAGCAAGGTTACCATTTGGCAGACTTGAAAAGGAGATAGAATTGAAGTTGAAAATAGCCAATACAAGTCAAGCCATTTGTGTTTATTGCCAAATTTCTAGCCAAATAGATGAAATTGGTATTGTGACTAGAATTTTTCCTAAAGTAATTTAGTTTTGAGTACGCAGTGACGTCGACATGACAGAATATTTCTTCAAATTTTGATAATAATGGCAAAACGGGTTGATTCATTTATTTACTTCTCTATATATTTATTTAATGCAAGGTCAAAAGCATTGCTTAGGAGAGAGCATGAAGTACCAACAACAAAAGGAGCAGAATACATTGAGTGAAAGAGAACAATCAACAGATTTTCAAAAGACTAGTAAGCATCGGGTTTTACAAAATAGAATTACCTCAAAGCGATAATTTCAAGGATTACCCATGGTGCGGGGATATAGATATAAGTAGGTCTTGTAGCACGCTTTGCTTTCAAATAGTATAAATAAGCACAACTGGCGAAAATTTTGGTGTGCTGTTAGCGAAGATGCGGGACGACCTTATTTTATAGCCGTGCTATTCTTCCTTTTAATATTGCATGTTACACGTGAGCATATAGTTCGAAATTCACAACAAGTCACATGCTATAAATTGTGATGCTTTTTAGGAGGCAGATAGGCAGAATGTTTATGCTTTGAAAGACAAATGACCCTGTATTTTCCGACAATAAGGTCACAAAGCATTTTTTCAACCAGGTGGCGAAGCAGTTGTCTCATAATGGTATAAGTTTATTGCGTATGATATATTTCTGATTGATTGTGCTTCGTGTGAAAGGGTTAATTTCGAGCACTCCCGCCAACATGTCTGTGAGAAATAAAGTTTAAACATGTTTTTAAGAAAGACACGAATCTAAATTGGTTACTAGGCTTACTTAATTACAGAACAGATTCATTTTGAGATTCATATTCGTTTTGTGTTTGAGGGAGGGTGCTTTAGTACAGCCTGTTCCTGTGACAAAGACATGCGTGCGCATTAGCTTACGCGACAGAAGAGGTTGGGGAAAGGGGGCTGATTTCTAGGATTTCTTGCTCTTTTACATGCAAATATTCACATAGAATAATTCTTTACTGAATGCGCCTAATGATAGGTTCAATGTAGCTAAGAAAGTAGCCATGCCACCAGCCTCAAATGTTCGTAGCCAGGTGACGTTGTGTTTCTCAGAATAATACGCAGTGGGCATTCGGGTGCAACCGTACACGTGAATTTCAAAAAAGGGTGCTGAACCGTTGAGTAAATGGCGCGGTATGTGTCTACGAAATTTGCATAGGCTGGCGTTGAGCGAGGCTTGGCATCAAATGTAGATATTGCACAAAGATGATTTCTCCAACACAATACCTTTGTTACCAGACTTTATTCAAGCACATACATCTTAGCTTAAACGTCCACTCCTCTGTACAATGTGCCCGACCAAAGAATGAAAACGACGTCTAATAGTCGCATAGCAAGCATTCAACTTGTCATCTGCCATCCAACTTTATCAGCCCTAGTTATTTTCGCGTTCCTTAAATTGAGCATAGAGGTTGAAGTGTCAAATTAAAGCTTAAACTAGCTTCTTCGATATATTAAAAAATAAGTATAGCTTCCTGTGCGCTTCAGTAAGAAGTGAAGCATTTTGAGCGCTGGACGGGGCCTGTAGGCTGGCTGCTTCTGCCACCGGCCGACAGAACGTCACGGCCACCGCCACGCGGTTTTGCGCGCTTCCTCTCTGCAAACGGCCTTGCCTTCGTGCCTTTGCTGAGAAAAAAAAACTTGTAACCTGAGACCACTTCAGAAACACTGGGTTTGAAGTGTGCGCCGAAGACTGCGAAGATAGCTATCGCTATCTTCGCTATAGCTATCTTTTAGTAATGCGACACTTATATACAAGTGTCGCATTACTTAGTTTTGTGGGAGACATAGGGTTCCGTAGCTTTATGTACGTTGCTGTTCCGCAGCTTGTCATGACTACTGCCTTCCTTTTATCCTCGGCCACATCGTTCGCAGTGAAGTACATCAAAACAAGCTCGTGAAATTCTGGTCACTGACTTGTGCTTGCGTCAAACACTTTTATAGCCTGCCCACGCACAACATTCTTGCCTAAATTCCTGTCTGCCGCACCGAACTTGCAGATTTTATGACTCGTCACTAGTTTTGATGTTCATCAGAGACAGCACACAAACAAGGCTCTTTTCAAATACTGACTGACGTATGCCGTGTAGAAAAAATCAGGGGACCCTAAAGCTTCGCCTTTAGGATGTTATGAACGCACTACGCACTGGCCATTGCTCTCTCGCCTTTCTTGCTGGTGTTCCCCCAAGAGACACTGACGCGTCCTTAACGTACTTCGAAGGCATCTATCATAGACGCTGGACGCGTCCCTCGTAGACGCTGCGCGCGTCCCTCAGAGGCGCTGCGCGCGTCCAACAGCGGGTGGTGCCCTCCTCAACGAGCGTACCGGTGCCTATAAAAGGACGGCGAATTAAGCGTCGCAGGCTTCTTAGTTCGCGTTCTGTACATACATTGTAAATATAACTGTTTTGTTTCCTTCTGGCTACCTTTTGCCTAGCCACTTCTTGGATGCTCCTTGCCCAGCGTTGGCCCTCGCGACACGCTACCCAAGAAGACCGGTGAGGCTCCCCTCTTCCTAACAAGGAGTTAAACGCAATAGAGACATCCTGTTCTTTGTGTGTACTTCAAACACTTAGTGCATGAAACCTTTTTGAATTCACCATGCGCCCACTACGTGACATTAGGAGAATAGGCGCAGTACAGTTTGTGCCTTTTGTAGTGGGGTACCAGCTTTCAACCATGGAGCCCTTAGAATAATCGCATATTCGGATGCCCGTTTGCAGTGGACGCTTGTACTAGCCTTAATACTGCGCCCCGCCGTGGTGGTCTAGTGGCTAAGGTACTCGGCTGCTGACCCGCAGGTCGCGGGTTCGAATCCCGGCTGCGACGGCTGCATTTCCGATGGAGCGGAAATGTTGTAGACCCGTGTGCTCAGATTTGGGTGCACGTTAAAGAACCCCAGGTGGTCAAAATTTTCGGAGCCTTCCACTACGACGTCTCTCATAATCATATGGTGGTTTTGGGACGTTAAACTCCACATATCAATCAATTATCCTTATCACTAAAATATTTAATGTTGCATTGTGAAACATGTATACAGGACACAAGTGTTTGTTAACCATGAAAGCTACTTTCACTGCATTTCCATGCAGACGAAATTCTTTTCACTGTTTTCACGAGCAGAGGCGTGGCCGTGTGATAGAACACCCGCTTGCCACGCCAACGACCAGTGTTCAATCCCCACTTGGATCCAAGCAATCCAGGTTTGTTACCCACTCTGCCGCGAATTTTTTGGTCACGCCTAAATAATGATTTTTTGTTCAGAACCAACAAAACCGACGCCGGAATTTTCGCAAAACAAGCTCTTCGACGCTCTCGCAATAAAAATTTGCGTGGCGCGAACATAAGGGGCGGAGAATAAGGGTAGTGGGGCAGATGCTCGTTGGTTCGGGACTGTTGGCTAGTACGTCATGTTATGGACGGAATTGCGTTGAACACAAATAAGGGCTGCAGAGAGTTCTTTTCTGCATCGTTTTTGGTGAGAAAGGGCATTCGGATGTGAGAGCGGATTTCACGGCTCCTTGATCGCATCTGCAGCCTGGTAGATTTTGTGAAGCTGCTGTTACGGGAAGCTTGTGAACGAGACCTGACCATCGCCGAGACCCACATCATGAAGAAAGACACGCCGACAACTGATGAGCCTTCTGTGATGGCAACAGTTTGACTGTGACTTCTCCTCGTGATACGGCTGGCCAATGATTTCTCCGCTTCCGACACTGAACCGGAACATGGAGGCCCTCTTAGAAAGGCGCATTCAAGTACGCAAGGTCGCTACACAGGTCATCGCAGACATCAAACATCATCGGTGTATGGATGACCCATCATTGTGTGAGTCGAAGAATTTTCATAAATTTTTGATTGGCCAGTACGATGAGCTCAGAAGTAACAACTCCAATGTTCGTCGTTGGAGACATTCTAATGATTGCTAGGTGAGAAAGCTTCTTGTCTCGTGTATATACCACGCGAGAACGTCGGCACGGACCACCGAGCATGGAGGAACGGAAAAAAGAGCGTGCTGGCATGGTGGCCCGAGGCGCGCTTCCAGGGTCCGGGCCGGGCGCAGTGCTGTTCCCGGTTCCAAGAGGAGCAAGACGTTCTGCCGAGTGAGATGACTACGAGTGCGGAGGACCATGGAGCCGGGCGAGGTCCACGGTGGCCGATGTGCCGAGGCTTCAGCTGCCAGCGTTCGGGAGACTCGCTGATCAAAGAGCGGCATAGCGGTTCCGAGACGTACCGAGCGATCTGCCAAGCTGGGTATTCGACTGCTTGCCTATGAGCGTCTGCACCCGAGCTCTGCCTGGCAGTGTCCTCGCTGAGACAAGGAACGTCTGTTGAACAGTCGGACCAAAACTTTGCGAGCAGCATCTCAACACGGCGTGGACAATGCTGTGCTGGACGGAACCTGCATGTGGAGCCGCACTGCTGGTTGGTTCTCGAGACGTTATCGAGGTCAGGCTGAT